ATTGCTGATAGTAGAGCGAACACTGTGTAACGATATCATAGTAACCCCACCTGTAGACACCATTGCTCTGTTAAGTTACAACGCGGAGATGAAATGTAGATTGAATGAAACTCGAGTTGGTTCTGTAGTTTGGGAGAAAGACACTACAATCATTGCGATAAACAAGATAATAGAAAATGGATTTGTGAGCAAATACAACATAGCGGACGGTGACCTAAATTATGATTTGCACGTTTATAATATTGGATTGGATGACGAAGGTGTTTACGAATGTAAACATTCAAGACAATCACCGAATGCAGATGCTAACCCGATGGCAACAATACAATGGGATAATACAGCTTGGAAGAATACTAGCAGTGATGCTGATCTTATACTTGTTGATGTTGAAAGAAGTGATGAAGGCACGTATACATGCCGTGCTACCAATTTATTATATAACAACGAACCACGTAATGATTCTAAGGCTGTGTTTCTCAGCGTTGAATGTAAGTATATACTCGTTCAATTAATGACTAAACAGTATATAATTAATTCTACATGTATTATTAGATATTGTATATATGAGAAATATATGTTGAAGCATTATCTAACTGATATATTCCTACCCTATTTTTAGGTCAGCCTTATTCTTTTTAATTATTATTTGATTCTTAATTGATTTATTTTAAGACGTGGTGATAAAAAACGCGTTTGCTACAATTTTTATTTCTATTTCATATCTTTATATTGCTTTTTCGTCAGTTAAACCAGAACTTACAGCGGTCATATCAGGCGAGGCAAGTGAAAGAGGAGATATTATAGAAGGCAGCAGTATGAATATACTTTGTCTCGTGAGGGAGTCGAATCCTTCTGCTGAAAGTGTTCACTGGCTAACATTGTCATCTGATACTGAATGGTTGAACTTTACTGATGTAAAACGTGATCAAGACAGAAATTATTCATGTGAAGCGAGAAATACATTTTGGAACAAAGAAAACGGCATCGGCAGTGTTTCCATCGCTGTCAATGTTCAGTGTAAGTAAATCATAAGTTTATTTCAGACGTATAATAAATGCGGGTCGTTAGACAGTTGAACTTGTATCCGTAGAATCTAATAATCACACATTTCATTAAGCGTAATATCAACTATCTTATTTTAGACTTATCTTTATTTAATAGATATTCCGGTGATCACATTTAGTGATTTGAGAGAACGGATGTTAGTTGAAGGACGTAATTTCTCTTCAATATGCAACGTTAGTGCAAATCCACCTGCTGATGTAGAGTGGAAATACAACGAACAAACCGTCGGAAGCAGTGACCTATTAGAACTTAGTAATGTTAATCGAACAATGAGTGGAGAATATATATGCCATGCAAGTAATGTATTCTGGAATGGAAGTCATGGATTGGATACTGACACTATAAATCTAGATGTGCAGTGTAAGTATACTACGAATTGAAATCCATTTTAAGCAATTTTATAAACATCATAAATAAAAATATAATATATCATTTGTCTCATTTTAGACCCACCTACTGTGGTGATATCACTGCTAACAGTCTATGAAGTTGGCGACAATGTAACTCTTAATTGTAGTGTCGTGGACGCCAATCCGATAACAGACAACATAACGTGGTACAGAAATGGTCAAGTTGTTCATTATTCAGCAATGTATACACTGAACAATATAACACGTGACGATAAAGGCGAATATGAATGCAGAGCAACAAATATATATTTCGATGATAGTATGGGAATGGGAAATGACACAACAACTTTAATTGTTCATCGTATGTTTGTATTATATCAGTCATTTGAATATGAAAGCTACAAAAGCAGGACATGATTATGCATGATTCACCAGAAAGTTTTGCCTTGCTGGCCATAACGCATGTTCGGTTCCTGTATTATAATTTTATTTTCGACAGTTGTATCTAAATGCTTTGTTCATCTTTTGCATCCGTTGGTGTATAGCACATCATATTATTCAGGAAAGCACATTTAGAGAGCTTTAATCGAATGGGATATTTCAACCAATCAGTGAATATCCTGCTAACATTGTCAATGTCGATAGGGAAACTGATTTTTGCACAACTGGTATAATTCGTAATTCATATTTTAATCGTATTGCACACATCTTTGGAATTCACTCAATTCTCATTGTTTGTGGACACATATCGCTATGTTGTGAATGTCGCTGTTTACGAGCGGCCTGGGGAGTTCGGTTGATCAAACGTACAGTGGTAGCACAATGAAATATTAAAATAATATTGATTCTGCTCATTCTCAAAGAATTTACACTTTGAGCAATGTTGGATATAATCTTGCAACACGGTTAAAATAAGATCAAGTGTTTGTCTTAATTATAAATTTTTCGGTAATGTTTCTGTAGATAAACCTAAAGTAGATATTTCCAATCACAAAGATGGTAAAGTTATAGAGGGTGAAGATTACACAGCAACATGTTCAGCAGATGCTGAACCACAAGCCAATATTACGTGGATCTATGCAGGCGACACATAATTCAACAATGCTAGTCTATTACTGAGTGCCATTAAGATATATAGCAATGGGACATACACGTGTGTTGCTGAAAATAAACTTGGGAACGACATATAATCAATATATGTAGATGTACAATGTGAGTATAACTAAAATATACATTCCATATTTTACAAGCATGGTCACATGTTGGATATTGTACTAACCCGGAGACACATATATGTGAATTATAGATCCGCCTACAGTATCCGTTGTACCTGACATAATCTGTAAGGAGGGCGACGCGGTAACATTGTTGTGCAAAATAACCAATTCAAATCCAGATGTCGATACGATTAAGTAGTCAAAGAATGGTGTACCAGTGCATAGTAATGAATCGTATACCTTCGACAGGATCAATATACATAACAGCGGACAATACATTTGTACAGCAACCAACACTTATTTTGATGGCAGTTCTGGTATGGGTAATGGCACAACTAACATAGACGTACATTGTGAGTATTCCCAGTGTTTACACACGAGCATATCCAACACTATTCAAAGCATCGATAAGTATATGATTTACTTCTGTTTCTAAATCGCATCAACTGAGACGTTATCCATACATTTTTTTAAAATATGCTTTTTTTAGATCAACCAATCATCACAGGATTAATTGAAACCGAATTCAAAGTGGGCCAAGATGCGAATTTAGTATGTACGATAGACGCCAATCCACACATAAAAGAAGAAACTATTTCATGGCAAAAGGTTAATGGAGACAGTATCACAAAAAACGTTGTCATTTCCTCTCCCGATGGAAATATCGTTAACACTACATTAACTATAAATGACGTTACAGAGAACGACAGCGGGCAATACAAATGCCTTGCGAAAAGCGAATTTGACGACGTGGATCACGTAATTATATTGAAAGTGACAAGTACCAATCCAGGCGCTGATAATAGTGAGTGTTATAATTTGAATTACTAGAAGTATATATTTCTCAGTATATCGAATATTGTACGTGAGACGATATGACCGTAATGACTTCTCAACGTCTGTTTCATGATTGAGAATCCTTATTTTGATGGGACAAATTTTCTGAACAGAAAGGAATAAAACTCGATATTGATACGCAAGTTTAGTTTTTATCC